TGTATGGTAGATCATGTCCAAACAAAAGTATGGAATACTTCCACTTTTGCAAACACTCCAACTACACTAATCATGCATATTTTTATAGCTATAAAAGATAACATATGCATAGAAAAACGCTGGAAGGAGACAGAATATACCAAATGGTTGTCTATGGCTTTTTTTCCCTCCTCCCCAAATTTTATACAGAAATGTGAATCATCTTAGCAGTAAGAAAAAATTAATTTTAAAAGCAACCCTCTTAAATATGATGTGTCTTCTTGCCGCTCCAACACATAACCACAGTCAGAAGAATCCAACATAGATATCTGACCTGCGGCTCCTAACACGTCTTTTCCCTGTTAACCCTGTCAGGACCACCCAGCAGCAGCTTTAGGTCTCACCGCAGGGCTAGGCGAAGAAAGCAGTGAGGGTATTGTCTGACACATGATCCAGGTTCCCACAGTGTCCTGCTGGCCTGCCTAGTGTAGAGGATTAACATTCAAATACCTGAACTGAGTTCTGGCATTTTTTTAATCTCCAAGGTGTCCTTGTTAAAATGTAAATATAGCAAAATCTCTAAAACAGTCAGGGAAGGGTGTATCTGATTAATATTTTGTTGGGGAGAAAAATCAGTATTTTTCAAAGAACTAGAATAATGCAAGTATACTAAATACTGAAATCACACTGAAAATAATTAGACTTTCCTCAAGGGGGAAGCAGTTTCTTCAATGCAAAAGTTTTTCCATTTGCCAAAGGATGGAAATGAAAACAATGGTCGGAAATTTTAGGGGACCAGGATTCTGTTCAAAGTTAGCTTACGCAGTCTTGGAAAACACAGAGTTCCTTATCCCTGGAGCTCCTCAAAGAGCAGAGGTTGGAAACCTCACAGACAAGAGCAGAGAGTAAGAGCCGAACTAAATGACCCTGTAAGGCCCCGTCCACTTCTGAGACTCCGTCACTGCAGTTCCTGCTGTGTTCACGCCAAGGGCCAGGGTATCAGCATGACACTGATGCGTGGATTAGCAGAAGCGCCTGCTAAAAGCCTTCTGCTGAATGAGTGGGGCACACTCCCTGTCACAGCAAAGCCCTGTTAACCTTACCTTGGCCTGAGTTAGCTTATCGGTTTGTCTAGCAATGTATGGATATGTGAAACTATTTCAAAATGAGCTATTTCATGAAGGAGAACTTTCCAGAGCACTCAACCAAAACCTTTTGCCACTCCAATTCAGCAAAATAAAATATAGTTGTCCCTTGGTATCTGCTGGGGCTTGGTTCCAGGATCCCCCTCCGATACCAAAACCCAAGGATGCTCAAGTTCCTTGTATAAAAAAGGCTTAGTATTTGCGTAAAATTTACACACATCCTCCCACACAGTTTAAATCATCTCTAGATTACTTGTAATATCTAATACAATGTAAATAGTTGTAAATACAATGTAAATACTATGAACATAGTTGCAGCACTCGGCAAATTCAAGTGATACTTTTTGGAACTTTCTGGAATTAAAAAAAAAAATCTTTTCAATCCATGGTTGGTTGAATGCACAGATGCGGACTCCACAGGTGCAGGGAGCTGACTGTATTCACTACCGTATCCCCTGATTCTCCAGGCAGTCTAGGTACCCTAATTTTTTCAATGATCTTTTTAAAACATGGTAAAATAAACATAATATAAAATTTACCATTTTAACTCTTTTTAAGTGTACAGTTCAGCGCCATGAAGTACATTTGTGTACTCTAAATGTTAAGTCATGGAGATTTTTCTAAAAGAATGCTCTTTACTTATAACTCCCACTGCCAGAGGCTGGGGGACAGGAGAGCTGGAAAAGCATTTGACCCTTTGTTCTAATTAGTGACCTTCCCCTACAGGGAAGTCAAGTCCAAATGAGCTTTTGCTTTCTGAAGGGGGATCACTCAGAAGTATACATTTTCCAAGTACACAGCGTTTTCCAAGCACTAGCTCTACAAAGCAGTGAGAGCAGCCTGCCCGCTGCCTCTGGATCCAGTCAGGCATGTTCCCCACTTTTTGGATGAGTTACAGTCTATGACTATTTCTACCTTGTGACTCACAAATTCAACAGAATACTGAAGACAGGCGGATTTCTCTATCTTAAAAACTTGCATTTTGTTCATCTAAATAATTATAGGGGTTTAGTTAGAAAGAGCCTCTTTAAAACAGCTATTTGGTGCTTTGTACTAATAAGGCTCTGCCCATGAGTGTGGCTTTAACGAGTGGACTAGAATTAAGAGGTCAGAAGGTGGGAGTCGCTTTGCCGAACATAACATTTAACACTATAGGTAAGACCTCCAGATAAAGGATATAATCCTTTCTTTGGAGCTTAAAACAAATTGGAAACCAGGAGCTAAAATGTCCGCATCTGCAGTTCACTGGGCTTTTGCAATGATAAATGGGTGCTCATATTTCCAAATTATTTCAGCAATTGACTTTCAAGATCGGAAATCACAACGCAGTGAGCTCCTGGAAGGCAGCACCTGCCTTCTTCCTCACCACATCCCCAGCATCCAGGACAGAGCTTGGCCCAAAGAAGGTGCTCAGTGAAAGTTTCAGAAATCAATGAATGAATGAACAAACTCATCACTGCTTTCAGACCTAGGGCTTTGTGACATATGTAGCCCGACAGCCTGCACTACAAATCAGTTAAGAATTTCACCCTCACTGACAGACATAAACTAATCTTTTATGCCAGGGGAGCCATGGCTTCTTAGGGCAAGAACTCTGTGGGAAGACCATGCGTGACATGCCAGAGTTACAGCATCGGAGCTGGTGACCTGATAATAGGGAAGAAAAGGCCCAGATTTCTAGGGCCTGGAGCTCTCAGCATATGCTTTTAGAAAGCTTGTATTAATTTTCGTTAGCTCCACAAGTGTCTCTCTAGATCACGGTTTCTCAACCTCGGCACTACTGACATTTTGGACCAAATAAATTCTTTGCTGTGGGGGGCTGTCCTGTGCGTTGCCGGATGTTTCGTGGCATCCCCGGCCTCTGCCCGCTAGATGCCAGTAGCACTTCCCCCAAGTTGGGACAACCAGCAGTGTCCAGATCTTGCCCAATATCCCCTGGGGGACAAAACTGCCCCAAGTTGAGAATCATTGCTTTTAGATTGACACTATTTTCAAGGCAGCTCTGCATATCACCAGCCTGGGTCTGGGGATGCCTGTGGAGGTGGCATCCCTAACTTTTTATCTTTACCATGCACCTGCTCTTTTGCTTCTATTCAGAAGCATCAGCCAGAGGTCAGGTTATATGATGAAGTGATGTGGTGGAAACCAGCACCAGGCACCTTTTCTCTAGGCCTTTTGAGCCCAAGTGTCCCACCTTTGCCCCCTGGGAATGATACACAGTTTAGTTAAATAAGCTAAAAAAAAAAAAGTCAGTGGTATTTTTCTGGAAAATGCATAGAATTTCTAAAGAAAACTATTTTGGATAAGAGAGATTTAGAGCCTAAATGAAGATGGCTTATGGAGGAAGTCTTCATGCAATTAGTGGGGTTGAGTAAAACCTGGGATAACGGCATTGGCAGTGCTGTTTTCTTTCATCTAAAACTCTCCTGTCCTCCTGGCCCAATTTTGCAAAGACTCTTTCTTGCCTGAACTACCTGATACTTAACAGTGGGCGGGTCCATTTCTCCACAAGTGGGCCACCAAGCCCTGCTCCATCCCCCTGCTTCTGCTTGGATAAATGAGCAAATTGCTCCTCCTGGGAGGAGCTGAGCTGCTCAGTGTGAGGTGAGAGGTGCGTTCTAGTCACAACTCTTCATTTGCAAGCTGTGTGACATTAGACCACTCCCTTCGATGTCTGACTCTTCAGCTTTTCATCCATAAAATAAGTATGTTAATAATGATGGTGATCATATTTCCACAGGTGTGAGAACAAATGAAATAGCAAATGCAGACAGTTCCTTAAAATGCTAAAATGCTCGGCAAAATGTTGTCGATATTGTTGTTGGAGGGTTTTAATTGAATTGTCCTATCACCTCTCAGGCATTTGAGAACACTTGTGGCTCCGTGAATCCTAACCCCAGCCGGGTGCACCAAAGCACATCGCCAGGAGGATGCAGACGCACAGGGCGGGGGCCCCGTGGCAGGAGAGCAAGGCTGGCTCTGGACTAGTCAGCATCTGCCTTCCACATGATGCTGTTGTTTTCAGAGAGGGGTAGTATCACATCACATAGGCACGCAGACTCAGGTGTCAGACTACGTGGATTGAAATCCTGTTTCTGTCACTCACTAGCCCTTAGTGACTTAGTAACCTAACCATGTTCTCCAGCGTCTTGTGCCTCCATTCCCTCATTTGTAGAATGAGGGTAATAACAGCGCACACCTCACGGGTCTGTCGTGAGGGTGAAAGGAGAGGATGTACATAGCATGCAGAGGTGGAGAGAATTCCTGGGTTCAAAATTCAGATGCTTGGCTTCTCAGCCAAGCAAGTTACCTGCCTTACTTTCTTCATTCAAAAAATGGGGGACAGTAATAGAACCTACCTGAGAGTGTTGTTTCCTGTGTGGACGAAGTGCTTGGGGAGTGACTGGCACATGGCTGGCTCTGAGAAAACGCTGCTAGTACCATTAATAGAACATGATATGCACGGATACGTGTTAGCAGCGATTATGAACCATCGTTATCATTGCTATTACTATAAACATCACTCTGAGTCCTAGCTAGACCCCCACTGGCAATTTTAGGGCACTCTGTATGTAGCCTAAGCTATAGGCTTTGGAGTCGTCATAAAACCCTGTGTCTCTGAACAAATTCCATTCCCTGGGTATGACCAGCTCACTTGCCACCTGCAGGAAGACGGGACCACACCTCACTAGGGAAGCACTGAGGAACGGGGAAGCCAGCAAGATGCCTAGGGACGCACGACTAGGCACACAAAGCAAACGGGCACACAGTTCAACTCTCCAACCAGAAGCCACTCTTCTCCCCGTCCACGGAGATTTCAGCTTTTTCTACACTCTTTCAAATGGGGCAAGCTTGGCAGACGTGAGAAGCACTTACTGGCATCAAGACAGCAGAGGATCCCGGCATTGTAGGGTTGGGTAGGGTCCCGGGCATGGAGGCTGGCATGGGCTGTCTCTGTCTGTTGTGAAGATGTAGCAGAGAAGATAGAGAGCCTGGGACAGGCCTGGGAACAAAGGAAAAAGCAAACATTATTCATGGTGTCCTGGGCAGGGGATTCACTGCCTGTTCCCCATGTCCAGAACCAGCGGGGCAACACCATTCCATGTGCTGCAGATCAGATCCTCTGATGGGAGCCACATAATTGAGGATATTAGGGAAATAATAACAAATAAAACACAAGCCTGGCTTCCTTTGCTGCTTCCTAGTTAATACATAAAATTCCACTTCATTTCCTGACCTCTGTTATCTAACTGATATTCAACAGACAACTAGCCAGTCAGTCAACTACAACCCTTACATCTTATGAAAGGCACCTGGTGGTGAAATCCTGTGTGTTTCCTCTGAAGTCTCTGCCCTCTGGAGGATCCTAGAGCCTGATATCTGTATACATTTGTTTTATCCACACTCTCCCACACCTCTGCCTGGAAGCCTGCCTGGCTTTTGCTCTGTCTGGATACACTTTCACTAACTGGATTTGCAGAGCCAACTTCATTCAAAATTTCCCAAGAGAAATCCATTTTGACTTTTTCATAGTTCTCCATTGTAAATGGAAAAAAAACCAAAGCCAGGTCACAAACCAAAGTAGCCAGATGGTGGTTCATGGCGCTGCAGTGACACTTTCTTGGGGAGAGTCTGGAGCCCAGCCCCCAATTACCAATCCTTCATTTCATAATAACTCAAGGTGTTAGGCTGCTTGACAGAAACTGATTTTGACCTGACCTGCAGGACTTAGGGAAGCATTCCTTGGGGGAGTACATAGTTTGAGCTTTTGCTTCAATTTGCCAGAAAATTCTTTTAAGGGCCTCAAATTGATTTAATGAGCCAGGGAATGTGGGGCTGAGGGAAAAAGGGAATTATTTGTGTTTATTAAAAATGGCAAACAAGTGACCTCCTTGGCTAGATTCTCAGTCTCCTGATGATCTTGCTCCGGGGAGCTGTATAAATGTCAAACCATTGAATTAAAGACTTAACAACAAATCAAACCAAACAAATAAACAAACATCCCTCAAGACCTGAGTCGTCCACGTTAAAACATCTTATCCTGAATGCCATGATCAAAACTAGTGCTTTCCGAATTAATGTGCTTTCTAAAAAACATTTTTTAAAAAAATTTTCTCACGCTAAGTGCTCGATAAGGACTGCAGAGAGATGCTCTCTGTAGGGCAATGCCTTCCTGTGTTTCAGGGAAGAACAGGCCCCGTCCTGAGCCCCATGGGAGCAGCATGAAGAGCCTTTTCTTCGGAGCTCATTTGCCTCCCATGGGTGACTCACGGAGAAATGGGAGACTGAACGGTGGGGAGGAATGCCAAAATATTCTTCCTGCACACAGCTGTTAACAGTTCCAAAGAAGAGCCAGTTTCCCATTCTTTTCGCCTGAAAGCTCCCTTGGAAATACAGCTAGTCATCATAGTCACATACATCTTAGAAGGCTTAGCCTTGGATTCGTCCTAGATTTATATGTTTAGGAAGTTGTATATGTGAAAATATAAAAGAATATAAAATCTTTACACAGAGTTTACATAGATGTGCACAAATTACAACCAGGTCTATTAGTAAAACGTGTGTGTGAGTGGTTCCACAGACAGGCTATTATAAGAATCTTGTAACAATGAAATGAGTGTTTTCAGAAAAGCAAAGGAAGTACTAAGGGCATTTCTTGACATGTACCTTTGGGACCTCTGGAGGACGGGTTAACAGTAAAGATTAGTAAGGCCTTTGAAGGACCTTGAAATTTTATAGTTCTAGGAAACTGCTGGTTTCAAATGCTCCAAAATTCTATAGTTGTAATGTCACTGGGTCTCAAAGTTTATCTCATTTAGAGGTGAAGAGCTTGAGGCAGAGAAGTATAGAATGCAGCTCAGTCAACAGACAACGTTTGTTTTATATTGTCTAGTCTGAATGTTTTGTCTGGGACCTCTGCTGAAAAGAAAATAGCTGTATATCAGAGTATACCATGTGTAATCATGATCAGTTCCTCTAAGTACAAGATTAATAACCTGAACTCCCTGGTTCCTGGTTTCATGATGAGACCCTATCAATGGCTAATCAACCACCTATCCATTCATCTAGAGATATCCAGAGAGGGAGAGAGACAAAGAGAGACAGAGAGACCTCTGTGCATACATGCATACATACAGACCCACCCATCCATCTATCAATCCATCCAGCCTTCTACCACATGCCTGCTCCCCTGGTCACTAGGGGTAATGCTTTCAGTAGAGACACTTAGGGACAAGCAGAAACTGTTATAGGGAAGACACTAAAAATATCTTATTACGTTGATGTGCAGTATCAATTCTATAAACAAGGGCAACACATTATCATCATTTACACTTTGTTTCTGACATGTTAATAATAACCCTGGTTATCAGCTTTTACTGATGTGTTGTTTTTTTAAAAAGAAATCAATTAAACCACTTAATGGTGATACAAATGAAGACGCAAAAATAATTAAATTTAAAATGAGTTTTCATTCTTCCCAAAACTATGAAAAACTCCCAGTTGTATAGAATAATTGGGGAATAGTATGTTTCATTTAATTCAATTGTTCTTATTAGGTCAGTTATTTCCACACCATGCATAGGTCTCCTAGATTTTAAAATATCAAGTATTCCCCTCATTAATTAAGAAAGTCTTTCAAGGTACTGGGGTTCCCTTGGGATTATAATAATAATTACCTAATGATATCAAGCAGACCAATTAGCAATATATACTTGGAGGGGAAAATGGTTATTTGAGAACCTTGTATGTTTGAATTCTGAGTAATTGTGAATTATTATCTTACACAGATTCTGTAAATAATTTCCCCAGCCCCAGCCCCACCCACAAAACTGATAGAGTTTTCTAGGCTTCTTGCTTGGGCTTTTAAAACTATAAAAACTGACAGAAAAACCTGTGTCTACCCATCACTAGATATACAAAGGACTAGAATGAGATAATTATGTGCTTGGCCCTAGAAATAATCATTTGTCCAGAATGTCCAGATCACTGAGGCAAGAGTGGTACTGGAATAATTGCATTAATTGTCTAATACCCTTTGTGCATATAGAACTAATTCTTATTTAATACACTGCACTTGCATAAAACTTTTTATATTGCACTTATACATTGCTTCATATTCTTCTAGATATTTTCACCTTCATGTGACTTGAAATAATGCAATGTAGTAGGTAGGTCATATTACTCCCATTTTACTCAGGAGTAAGCTGAATGTCAGAAACATTTGAATTTTCCCAAGGTCATACGCATCATGAAAAGAAGGAGAACTTATACTCAACTTGCAATACAGGGCTTCCCCCATCACGCCTTGACGGCTCCTATAACTAAGTTATTATTGATTTTTTATACTAAAATAAATCCATGGTCCATTTCCTTTGATATTCACGCTGCTCCTTGGACTTTCCAATGAAGTAGTAAAATTCTGCGATACTGCTAACATGAGATGTCACTCATTCATGTGAAATTATGTTTTCTTCCTTTAGAAAAAAGCAAAAAAAAAAACAAAAAAAACCCAAAAAAGCTCCCCCCCCAAAAAAGACTTCCCAAACAACACATCAGCTAGGCTCTGAAAATAAGATGGCAAATTGCAGTAAAGTTGTGAGAACAAAGACCCGACAGTCTTTCTCCAGTGCAGGCTTGTTGCCACGAGCTAATAATTCCAGACTTTGAGCAAGCCAAGCCTCCTTTTTAATAACCATGTGCTCTAGGTAAAGTATTTCTACTAAAAATTATTGAGGCATGGAACAAGGTAAGATGTGTGAGCTCATGTTGGATTGTTCAATTACTAAACTGAGTCCTGTAGCATTAAGGGTTTTCCAACTTGACAGATTATTCCTCTTTATACACTTGTATAAACATACTGCTTACGGCTGAAATCTATGTAAGCTTTTCTTCCAATTAAAATGTCAGGAATGACAGACTATGTTTTTACTGTCCTTAACAGAATGATAGGTACCACAGCAAGAGATTTCATGTCCTCATTTCTCCCTCCAAAGGATGTTTTCCAGTCTGAAAAGGACTATGTCTGTTGGTCTTCCTTGCCCTGGGACAAGCCCAGCCATCTGTAAGGAGCTACAGGCCCATGCTTTTGTTTGGAAGCTCTCAGAAGTTCACTGCAGACTGCTCTTCTTTTCCAGGTCTCAAAAGATCCATGACCTCCCAGGATTGTTTATTAAATGGTAAAGACAAACAGATAAGCCAGGTATGTGGACAGACAAAGGGAAGAGGCAAATGATGGAAAAAAAAAAGTTGGAAAACTGGAAGATCAATATTAGCATCAAAATCAGACCACTAACGTCTAAGAAATCTTGAGCAGATAAAAAAAAAAAATAACAACAAAAGAACCTGGTGTTGGGGATGTGGGGACAGACTGAGAAAAAAAGACTCAAAGCAATAAAATGTCCGGGAACGGTGGGCAGGGAGCGGGAGGTGGAGATGCCATTTAGTTTCTGACTCCGGAGGAGAAACTGCCTTAACCTTTAGGCTCTCCATTTCATCATCTCTTCAATGAGTGGATAGGCCATCTGGAAATCCCTTGAAACTCTAAAAGTCAGATTCTAGGACTCAAACTGAAAATGAGATGTTCTTAATCTAGTAAGACTCTATGCTCCATTGTGAAAGAGCATCCTCTGCTGCTCACTGACGTGGCACAGAGAAGGCAGTCAGTGTCCATAGGAAATGAAACTGAAACAGGACAGCACCTAGTTATTAATGTCAAGACTACCTCTGAAGCGTGAATAGATCCCAAATAGAAGATACCCCTAAAAGTTGAGAAAAGTTGCTAAAAAATGGACCTGATACATTCCATGAGGCCCACACTTCATCCTCATTTAAATATATCATGATTTCACACACAGGCTAGAGAAAGCTTATTGCCTGTCATCTCTTTATACACACACACACACACACACACACATATACTTAAATAGCATGATTTAATTTATTGGCTGCTTAATCCTGTTAAAAAAAGTTTTTTAAAAAGTTAAAGTTAAATTTTTTTAAAAA